TGTAAATACATTTGCCTAACATAACTTACGCATAACTGAAATTAATTTATTTTTAAACAAAATCTCAAAAATATGAAAACACAAAAAAAAAAAAAAAAACAAAATCAAACTCTTTCAATGAAAACACAATACGATGTTGATGCTCCTGATGACAATGATGATGCTGGCGATGCTGACCGCAGTGCGAAGATTTAAATGGAACAAAGCTCAGCCACGAGATAATACCAAATCGCAATGCATGCGAGAGCGAGAACTACACGTGGGTGAATTCAGCAATGAATTTCGATCATGTAGGTAACGCGTATCTGTGCCTTTTCCAAGTGGCGACCTTTAAAGGCTGGATACAAATAATGAACGATGCAATCGATTCACGAGAGGTAATGCTCTTCAGTTCCTTTCCTTTTCCTTTTCCTTTTCATTTACTTTACTTGCCTATATGCATATATACACTATATAGTATATATGAAACTAAAAAAAAAAAAGAAACTTGACGCTCAATTCATGTTTATTTGGTTATGCGCTTTGAAAAGATGAACTAAACGCAATCCTATATATAAATATACTATATATACTCTCTCTATACGAATCTTTAAGTATTTAACGTAATTTTCAATTAATCAACATTTCTATCTATACATTTTTTCTTCTTTTTTATATGAACTACAACAACAATACCAACAACAACAACTACAACAACACAATACAACATAACAACTATCAACTACTACTCTGGCCACCCACAACAACAACAACAACAAACCACACAACAACACTGCCGTATAACACTAAAAATGATCCATTCACAATAAACAAAAACAACAAAAACGAAATCCTCAACCGATGACAAAATTGCCAAAAACACGAAATTCCAAAAATCTATATATCGTTATCGCTATCGATAAACGATAACCAGGTGGACAAGCAGCCGATTCGTGAAACGAACATCTACATGTATTTATATTTCGTGTTCTTCATCATATTTGGATCATTTTTCACACTCAATCTGTTCATTGGTGTTATCATTGATAATTTTAATGAGCAAAAGAAAAAAGCAGGTGGATCATTAGAAATGTTCATGACAGAAGATCAGAAAAAGTACTATAATGCTATGAAAAAGATGGGCTCTAAAAAACCATTAAAAGCCATTCCAAGACCAAGGGTAAGACAACAAAAATAAATACCAAAAACAAACCAAAAAAAAAAAAAGAAAGTACAAAATACTAAAAGTATCATATAAATACTAAATAACATAGTAAGCCAACTCGATCAAAAATAAAAATAATAA